TCGACGATCTTGGACTCATTGGATTTGTCTCATCGAGTCGTTTGCTTTAACTATAAGCATGTCACAATTGGAAACCGTTTGGTACTCCAAATTATGCTTTGAACCTTCCAAACGTGCTTCAGGTCTTTGATTTTGACTCATTTGAGCTCGAATTGAGTCGAATTTAGTGTCGTTGGGTTTGTATTTCCAAGACATTCAGCTCGACTATAAGTTTACTGAAATCTGAGTTCAAATGGTATCGAATTTAATTTTTGAAGTTTCCAACTTGATTTTGCTTTAAAATTTGTGCTCGATCAAGATATGGGTTTAAATAGTAACGACGAAGATGTCAAATACAATCGTAGCTGTTTGAAGGATTCTTGACATTCATCAGTTCATTGAAATTCTGAGCTACGAGCTCATCTGAGTATCTTAAAGAAGGGTGGATATTTGTCTCATGAGTGAGCCAGGAAACGAGACAGCGCTACAATCTTTTTATTTAATTTTTAAACTTTCTTGATATTTTTTGGGGCACCATATCCCTTAGTGCCTTTATTTTCTCAGGATTGACCTCAATCCCTCTGTCGGTTACCATGAACTGTAAGAACTTTTTGGAAGCCGCTCTAAAAGCACACTTGGCCGGGTTGAATCACATGTTATAACGTCGTAACAAGTGGAAGCACTGTTCCAAGTCTGATATATATTGAGATTTTTCAAGGCTTTTACCAACATGTCATCAACATATACTTTCATAGTACGCCCAATAAGGTCTTTGAAAACTTTATTCATAAGGCGTTAATATATTGCTCCAGCATTTTTGAGCCCGAATGGCATGACTAGATAACAGTATAATCCCTTATCTGTCTAAAAATCCGTTGCTCCTCATCCGCAGGATCCATCTTTATTTGATTATAGCCAGAGTAGGTATCCATAAACCTCAGCATTTGATGTCCAAAGGTGATATCGACCATTTGGTCAATATAAGAAAGCGAAAAACTATCTTTAGGATAATCTTTGTTGAGATCTGTATAGTCTATGCACATTCTCCACACTCTACTAGCTTTCCACACCATAACGACCTTCTCCAGCCATATGGGATAGTGAACTTCTTACATAAATCCAGTCTCCAAAAGTTTATCAACTTCCTGCTCGATTGATTACTGGCGATAAGGCACAAAATTCTATTTCTTCTAAATTACTGACTTGTATGTCGGATTGACTTTAAGGGAGTGCATGATTACTTCATGATCGATTCTGGGCATATCGCCTGGACTCCATGCAAAAACATCTTGGTTTTTACATAGAAAATCTATGTTTTCTTTCTTCTCTTTGTCTGAGAGAAGCTACCTGATCTGCATAGTCCTTGAAGGGTGTTTTCTAATATGGATACAATAGTGAGGTCTTCTACATGAGAAGCACTCTGAGGGATATCCTCATTCCGGAGATCAAAATCCTCGATACTTAGGCTAACTGATGGACGTGGTTGAGCTTGCCTAAGATAGCAAGATTGTGCTACTTGTTGATCTTTGCATACAACACTGACTCCTATTGGAGTAAGAAACTTCATTTTAAGGTGAGCGAGAAAGGAGATATATAATCCTAAAGATCAATTTGGAGTGGCCTTCCAAAGCATTGTAAACCAATTCCGACTTTACTACAATGAACTTGATGGAGTGTGTAGCCTGTCAGGAAAATTCTCCAAGTACAACTGGGATACTGATTGTCTATTCCACTCATATAGGTTGATTATCAAACAAATACAGTGAACCTATGGCAAGTTGAAGCTATTCTCTGGTGAGTCCCATATTGAGAAATGTATAATAGAATAAGACATCTACGGAGCTCCTATTATCCACTAGAATTTTTTTGATGTTGTAACACGAGTCATCTATCCCCGCATTAATCACAAGTAGATCTGGATGAGAGATTTTTAGTTCCTCTAGATCAGAATCGTCAAAAGTAATAGAATGATCAATATGAGACTTCTTTGGTGTTAGCTTTTCATTTACATCCAATAAGACTTGATTTGGCGATAAGGGGCCCCCTTCAATGTTTTCAATTTCACAAACTGTTTGACGATTATTCAGCAGTTGTCTCTGCTATAGTTAATTTTGCCCACTAGTGGGATGGACATCTTCTTGAGCGGGGGGATTTTGAACAAATCGTCGAAGGTAGCCTTGGAGGATAAGTCTCTCAATTTTATTCTTGAGCTGCATACAAGCTTCAGTGATGTGCTCACGACTACGATGGAAATGACTATTGATTTTGATTTCTTGTATTCAGCATCAAAGGATTCAACCACTTCACACCTCCTGATCTCGGATGTATATCAACACATTAGCTCAAGACGTATTGAGTGGTGTATACTCCTCTTGCCGAGGCTTGCGTCATGGCAATGAGGGTCTAGGACCCAAGTTACTCTTTCCTTATTTCTTTTGTTGTGAGAATGAAATATTCACTCATTAATGACTTTTACAATTTCCATTTATTTACTCAAACTATTTTTTATGAGCATTAATGGCTTCATCTACAGATATTTGTGCCTCTAGATGATGGATCAAGTTAACATACGAAGGAGCTGTGTTTCGCATAAGTGCCGAGTAAAAGGGACCAGGGTAGAGGCCTCCAAAGAAAATTCCTTTCAGCAATTCAGGATCCACTCCCAAAATTTATTGAGCCTCAGTAAAAAATCATTGTAGAAAATCATTGAAAATACTCTTTAAGTGATTCTCCTACATTTTGGAGGATCCTAGATAAGTGAGAAGAATTCTTAGTAATTCTTCGATTGTCAACGAATTGTTCCACAGACACTTTGGCAAATTTGATAAAAGTAGGGGTCGTTCTAGCTGGAAGTGAATAGAACAACATTCGATCTTGTTCTTTGAGGGTAGTAGGAAAAACCTGATAGAGGAGCATGTTTGAGGCTCGCTAGACATGCATGATGGTTCTACAGTGATCGATATGCTCGTACGGGTCGAATGTCCCGTCATAAGAATTGATGCTTGATAGTTTGAATCCTGGAAGAATGTGGTGTTAAAGAATGACTTCAGTCAGGGGTAATGACTTTTGGAAGTCCCACTGACAAAGAGATTGCCTTACACCTCCCATTGGGAATTCTTCTCGGACCAATCTTCGCAATTTTTGTCGTAGGGCGTTGTATGGGAGCTCAACAACGTGCGGTCGAGGCTAAGTCCTTGGGTACGTCCGAAAGAATGCGAGATTGCCGACTTGTATGCGAAGGATCCGTAGAGAACTTGCTATGTCAAGAAGTTCGTTGTCTTGATGTGATTGCAGATTCCTCCTAGGAGGAGGGAGAGGAATCTCTATATGAAGATGTTCAGATCAAACACCTTCGGCTAGTGGTGGATCTTGAGGGAGAAGAATATCTTCCTGTGGTGCTAGTGTTGGTTGCTGAGTCTCTCGCAGGAGTTGAATGATCTCATTTTGAGATTCTTCCATCTTTCAGATACGATCTTCTAGGAAAGATCCTGAAGTTCCTTCTCTAGTAATATTTTACCCCCCAGGATAAAAAGAGGTATATACGTGACATCCATGATTTATAGTCTGATTCCTGGATTACTGGGTGTTGGAGCGGGAGGCTCTCAAGATGCGATTGCTATACCTGTTCGCCTTGAAGCAATACTTAGGATAGTAGGATTGGATTTCCCATAGACGATGTCAAACTGTTGCGGGCTAGAATATATGCGATAGAGTTAGAAATTTTCGTCTCAACATTGTATAGATATCCAACATACAAATAGAAGAAAAAAGAAACACATAATTTTTACGTGAAAAACCATGAAAAAGAAAAAACTATGGGGCCACGCCTAGTGACATAATTCCACTAGTGTTTGATTGGATTACAAGTGACTAAGTCATCCCTGAAATTTAGCACGATCAGATTACTATAATCAACTATCGGATTGAAATCCAGTTACAAACGAAGATTAAAAATTCGACGATGTTTGGTGGCTGGAAAAAATCCGGCCTCAATTAAAGGTCAGGCATAAATTCGGCATTAGTCGGCGGTCAGGTAGAAGTCCGACGTTAGTCGGAGGTCGAGTAAAAGTTCGACGTCAATCGGCAGTTGAGCATCAGTCCAGTGTCAGTCAGTAGTGAGGCGAAAATCCGATAACAGTCGGTGGCTGGGTGGAAGTCCGACGGTGGTCGAGGTGGAGTCTGGTGACAAGAGGGTTTTCTTCCTTCTCTTCCTTCTTCCTTGCTTAGGTCCCCTTACCATGAGGAATGAGGGGTCTATTTATAGTTTTTTGAGAGTGATATGACAAGTAAATATGAGAAAGATCAAGAGTAAATTGGGAATGATTCGAATGGACTGTCGATGTTGATTCCTTTGATCGTGGATCATTTATTAGGTATTTGAATGATATCAAAATTCAGTGATCTTGGGTTCATTGGATTTGTCTCGTCGAGCTGCTCGATTCGACTATAAGCATATCAAATTTGGAAACCATTTGATAATCCAAATTATGTTTTAAACCTTCCAAATGTGCTTTAGGTCTTTTATGGCTGAGCAGATCAAAAAGGACAGTACCATCCTCTACCTCCGCTCGCACTGAGGAAGCGCCAAAATTATGCTGCGAAATTGTTTGAGAGCTTTAACTAAAATCTAATTTTTACTAATAAATTAATTAAATTTAATTTTAAATTCGTGACTTTAATTTAAATTAAACTAATTAACTAATTTTAAAATAAAATTTAAAATTCATATTCAATTTTAAAATAAAATTCAATTAATTAAATAATTGATTAAGTTAAAATTTAATTAAAATAATATATTTAAAACTTAATTAAAATCAGAGCTTTGTTTATTTTAAAATATATTTAAAACTTAATTAAAATCAATTTAATCTAAATAATTAAATAATTTCAAAATAATCTTAAAATTTAAAATTTAATTACTTAATGAGCCAATAGTTTTATTTTAATTTTAATATAAACTTAAATTTAATTTTTAATTAAACCAAATAAAAAAGAAAATTAAAATTCAAGTAGAAAGCATGGAAGGGAGAACCACTCTGGTGCATTTTTAATTTAAAAAAAATAAACACAAAAAATTATGTTTTCTACTATCCAACTTAAGTACAAGCTAAACAAACTCTTAACAAAAGTACTTTAAACAAACAAAACTCTTAAAAATAAAACAAACTCTCTCAGACTCTCAGTAGTAGCCTCAACTGCAGCTACTTGTGAGCTATCCAAGCTCTCTAAACTGCTACAAGTACAACATACCTGCAAGTAAACAAACCAAGCATTAGCTCAATGTACGAAGATAAATTGGTACTGGTAAAACAAATAGGTACTAAAATAAACAGTATTGAACAAACAATGGTACTAAAGTAAAACACAAGCTACTGGAGTAAGAATCCTATGAGCACTATTATGAGCAAAACCACAGTACACTACTGAAAGCTAAAGTAAAAAAAGTACTGATGTCAAGTGGTAGGGTGTGTTTTTATTCTGAAGCTAGCCTAACAAGTAACTACTAGCTAAAATATGGTAAATCCCAACTAATTTAATGCGCATAACCTCCCAAGGTGAGCTATAAATACTCTTAAAGGGAGTTATGAAGCCTCTTAAGGGGAGTAATCAACCTAATTCCAAATGAACTAGGGGAAACTTTTATTTGAAACCTATACGGGCCACCTTACTTATAGAGATTGGTTGTAAGACCCACCTACAAGCTACTTCCAAAGGAAGCCGTAAGACCTGCTACTCGGGCTACTTTCAATGAAAGTCATAAGTACGACCCCAAACCCAAACATACAAGCTACTTCTAATAGAAGAAGTAAGACCCACTTAAATGCATAATTACATGTTTGCTACCAAAACCCCACTAAACTAGATCCCCGCTAACCTAAAGATAACCCGGGCCACTTCTATGTGAAGTTGTAAGACCCGTTATATGGACAATCTCTAATAGAGGCCGTAAGACCCGCTATACGGTCTACTTTTAATGAAAGAAGTAAGACCCAACCTTTTAAATTCTACGAACCATTTCTAAGTGAAGCCGTAAGACCCGCTATACGGGCTACTTTCAATGAAAGTCGTAAGCTCAGACCCAAATCCAAACTACATATAACTCCTAAGTGGGGTCGTAAGACCTATTCTAAGTCTAAACTATAGGTAACTCCTAAACCGGGTCATAAGACCTAACCTAAATCTAATCTACGGGCAACTCCCAATCAAACCTATAAGTCCCAACCTAAACCAAATTAACATATATCTATCCACTTCAGTTTACTTGGGATTCCTGAGAGGAGGCAACCCATGACTACTAATCAGATTTCCTAGACACTACAATCAACTATTGTTAGTATTAGTAGACTAAAACCTACAGTAGGTCACAACTCAACATAAACTCGACCAGGACAGGTCCTATCATGTTGAGTTGTGACACGATATACCCGGGACAACGAAACCATGAGATCTTGATCGGGTTTATCTCCATTCCCCTCAACTAAAATTTAAAACTACCATACTTCTAAAAAATGATTCATCATTAATTGAGAGTTTTCTTATACGTGTTAGGAGGGGTAATTAGCTATGAGGGCTTGCACTCATAGGAAGTGAAACCTCAGAACTAAATAAAACCTTATGCCATTCATCGGGGAAAATTTGGTTAATTTAAAAATCTAATTTAAAAATCCAATCAACCTCGGTGAAAAATGGGACCTTAAGCTTTCGAAAGCAGGGTTTGTGCAACAGTGACGTCTTTTCCTGAGCGAACATTCTTAGAGGATATTATACTCCTAGTTAGATGCATTCTAGTGTTGTAGTCTCCCATAGTTAAATAATCATCTTACTTAAAAGAGAAAACTCTTGGTTAAGGTTCTCATTAGGCTCTATGATAAATATATGTTATAGTTGGATTCCCATATTTTAATTGATCAATCTAATAATGTATAATTGAATTAATGGCTACCCAACGAATTAAACAAAATCTTAAAGCCCCTCCATAAATGTGTTTAATTGGGTATATTTACACAACACCATCCAAACCATACTAGATTTTGGTTCAATATTAAAGAAGGAATGTGAGCATGGGGAACTACGAGGGATAAAAAATTTAGGAAGAGGTTAATTTAGTGGTAGGGAGATGGTGTGGATGAGGGGAAATTGGCTTTACATGTGATTGGATTTAGTTAGATCTATAGTATTAGGGAAAGATGGTTCACCTATATAACTATAGAATTGAAACAAAGGATAAGAAGATGATACCTTTTAATATTTGGTTCCAAACCCAACTGATGTTGGGCCTTCAAGGTTAGGTTTACTAAGGGGCTATTTAGCTGAAATTTGTTTGACAGGACAGGTTTTATATCCAGCTGAATCCTGACAAGCTATTTGGCTATTCATTTCAAGATTTAATGCAATTGCTTCATTTGGATGCCACTTTGCTCTCTTTATTGTACCCACTTCTTTTCTAGTAGCATGGAAGCTTGGAGTTCTAATTTTTAATATTTGATGATACTTTGTAGCTGGTTATTGTTAATTTGTCTAATATTTGCTAGGTAAACACATTTATTTATTTATTTCAGGATTAATTTATTTAACTTGCCCTTTTGTCTCTTATAAATGGCGACAATACTTATATCGATTGTTTGTTGCACGTTCCTCATGTTAAATTTCTTATATTACTCCATTTAATTATTGCTTCATCCCTTGTTTTACAATTTAGCAGCCGATACATCCATATTTTAGTGTTAATAACACTCTATATTATTCTTTCTTTTAGGATTGCACAATTCGATCTTGTGATTTTGACAATGAACAGACTCTGGTTCTACACTCTCCGGGAAAAAAATCTGAACGTATATCCTCCGATATAGATGTCCATCTTGCCATGACGCCTCTCCAACCTGTTGTATTCTTTGGCTTTCATAGAAGAATGAGTGTGACAGGTTTATCTTTTATTATAGAATAACTTGATATCCTTTTGTATTAGTATGCATATATATTGTTATAAAATTTTTCAACAATGAAGTTGTTGGTACAATTGAGGGAGGCAAGTCACCAACAAAAATAAAGACGGACCTTAAAAAGCCTATTGTTAACCTTTCTTGTCATCCACGCCTTCCTGTGCTGGTAAGATTTTCATTCACCTGAATATCCTTCTACTTAAAAGTTTAGTAGCTATCCTCATTACTTAATTTGATATTCTAAATTCAATCTGCTTTATTTATCTATTAGTTTGTAGCTTATGCTGATGGTTTAATTAGAGCTTACAATATTCAGACTTATGCAGTTCATTATACACTGCAACGTAAGATGAATTTGATTTGGAAAATAAATATTTTTCTTTATTCTGTCTGTTATCTTTTTCATTGACATGTTGTATACTTCTTTGTGCAGTTGATAGCACAACTAAGCTCCTTGGTGCAAGTGCATTTGCTTTTCATCCAACCATGGAATGGATATTTGTTGGTGATAGAAAGGGTACGCTATTGGCATGGGACATATCAACTGAGAGGCCAAATATGATTGGAATGTAGGTACTACCAATTGATCAGTAATGTTGTTATTCCTTCCACTCGCATTCGTTTTTGTGCTCGTTTACTTCTTTTGATTTTAAATGGCGCAACAACTGCAATTCCAGCTTTTGGTTTAGGTGTTTCTTCCCTTTTTGCCACCAATTTATTAACAAAATCTATCTCCACTTTTTCCAACATTAACTGCTCTAATGATTTTGGGTGAACCCTTAGATTGGTCGCCACCTATTATGTTGATGGCTCCTTGCTTCATGGAGGCTCTTTGTCTTCCTGCTAGAACCTATTTTTCTATAGATATGAGGTATACAAGATGAAAAATTTTAAGTTGGGATAAAAGAAATCAGAATCCTCCCTAAATTTTCTTCTCTCTAACTCGCTTTGCCATCGATCACCTTTGAAGGGCTTATGGTTTATGGGGGTCCAACCCGTAGCCAGACAATCTCCCTCAACTTTTATAGTCTTTTTTAGCCCTTATCATCATCAAAAAGCCATGTCAATAGCCATCCAATAAAAAATTGTTTTCCTTTGAGAAAGCCCCCAAAAAAACGCATGAATTGTTATTTTTTCAGTTATCCAATAGCAAAGACAACAAATACACTAGCTATTTTTGAACAGAAAGAACTAAGATTTATTGAAAAAGAAATGCACTATAAAGTAAATTCATTGTGAAGTAAATTTAATGTATTTGTTTTTTAAGTTTGCCCGATCAATTGAAAAATAAATGTAGGATAACACTTTTATTTTTGGTTTTAAGTTTGCACGGTCAACAACAACAACAGCAACAACAACAACAACATCATCAAGCCTTTCTCCCACTATGTGGGGTCGGCTACATGAATCCTTTTTCGTCATTGTGTCCGGTTAAAAGTCAAATTCTCATTTAAATCTAATAAAGAAAGATGATTTCTAATATTTTCTAACAAAGTCTCTTTTAGGTCTACTTCTACCTTTCTTAACATAAGTCAAATCTAATACCTCAACTTTCCTAATCGGGTCATCGGAAGGCCTTCGTTTAATGTGACCAAACCATCTAAGGCGTCTCTCTCTAATCTTATCTTCCACTGGAGCTACGCCAACCTTTTCACGTATATGCTCATTTCGTATACTAACTCTAAGGGTCAAGCCACTCATCCACCTAAGCATCCTCATCTCTGAAACACTTAACTTAGTATTATGCTTCTCTTTTAATGGCCAACATTCGGCACCATAAAGCATTGCAAGTCTCACCGACATCTTATAGAATTTTCCCTTAAGTTTGAGGGTGACTTTTCTATCGCACAATAAGCCCGATGCATTCCTCCACTTCAACCATCCAACTTGAATTATGCTGATAATATCCCCATCAATTTCACCATCACTTTGAACAATAGATCCAATATATCTAAAACGGGTACTCTTATTAATGGCTTGATTGCCCAATGTCACAATCCCCTCACTAGGTCTATTGCTACTAAAATTACACTCAATATATTCAGTTTTAGATATACTCAGGCGAAATCCTTTAAACTCTAAAGTTGACCTCCATAATTCAAGT